CCCCCCCAAAAAGCGGAGCACCTACAGTCAGTGTTCGAATTACCCATTTGCTTTCGGGGGAGCCCTATTTTTCAGTGCACATCCTGCTACTAAATATATCACACGCACGCTCTGTTGACTGGCCGGATTCGATCAATTGCTATAAAATCACTCTGCTATTACTACAGACGGTGTCACTACGCCGGCGGCTGTGGCCGTTGTTGAAGCCTCTTCAGGCTGCGCATCGGCAGGCCTCTCCCTCGGTGTGGAAGTTGAGTAAAGTTGGAACGATATTGGCAGATTCAGATTTCACGGATCAATAACTCATGAACAAAACGTTATTCAGACACAAATTACGTCTCCTAAGTACCGTGGTAAGGTTGACAACAAACTAAAATCACATGTTGATCAAAAAAAGCCAATACGTGCTGTCCTCCAAACTGGCAGTTTGGAGGACAGCACGTATTGGCTTTTTTTGATCAACATGTGATTTTAGTTTGTTGTCAACCTTACCACGGTACTTAGGAGACGTAATTTGTGTCTNTATTGTCTGCTGAAAAGCGTATATATTACAGCACCATTTGTTGTTGAATAGATTTGAGTGGTTCGAAATTTCGGGTCGCGATTTATTGCCAAAGGAAAAAGTGTGTCCCAAGGCTTGACCAGCTGAGAACCACTGCTCTAACCACTGCTCTAAATGTCTTAGCGTATATTAATATCACCGTGTTTCCAGATGAAGCGGAAGTGGCTGCTCGCGCTCTTTGTGGGCGGAGTCTTCATCGCCGCCTTGATGTCACTGCATCGCATGCTGGAGCAAGGGGCGGAGCTTCCGCAGGAAGCACCTGCAGGACAGGGGGACCAGGTGGGCCCCCCCCCGTAAACAATACATACATACAAATGCTTACAATAACAACAAGACTATGCTACGCTGCTGCTAAGCGTTAGCAACAGTTGCTTCACCCTCTCTATTGAATTATTAAATATGAAACGTGTCCCCCAGGTTACCGGACGACAATACCCTTCCTCCCCTTTATTCTATAATAACACTTTACTTTTACTTCCATTACTTTTTGTTTCTTAAGTTTTTTGTTTTTATACTTTTTCTGATGACATCACTTCCTGTCTGCAGGATTTGTCCCGCCTCGCTCAGAAGATTGACAGGTTGGAGCGTCTCCTTAGCGACAACAACCGTCTGGTTGCTACGCTACGAGACTCTCTGCTACACCCTAAAGAGGACAATAGAGGAGGAGCCAATGTAAGCTCCGCCCACAGCCCAGCTGACCCGCTGCCTGGCTGTCGATTGGCCGACGAGACGAAGGGCGGAGCCGACGAAGTGCAGGTTAGCTTAGCAGATGCTAACGGATGTTTTGTTGTAAAATCTGATTTATCGTTTTTCACTTTCTGCTGAAATTTCTTCAGTTTTCTTTATTTTTAAGATATTTTAGAAATGTTTCATTTATTTATTACATTTATTAATAATTATTCAAATCATTTCTGGATATTCTGGATATGTGTAAAGTGTGTGTGTGACAGTGTGTATTAAAGTGTGTGTGTGACAGTGTGTATTAAAGTGTGTGTGTGACAGTGTGTATTAAAGTGTGTGTGTGACAGTGTTTATTAAAGTGTGTGTGTGACAGTGTGTGTGTGACAGTGTGTATTAAAGTGTGTGTGTGACAGTGTGTATTAAAGTGTGTATAAAGTGTGTGTGTGACAGTGTGTATTAAGTGTGTGTGTGACAGTGTGTATTAAAGTGTGTGTGTGTGTGTGTGTGTGTGTGTGTGTGTGTGTGTGTGTGTGTGTGTGTGTGTGTGTGTGTGTGTGTGTGTGTGTGTGTGTGTGTGTGTGTGTGTGTTG